AAAGACACTGAAACGGATCTTCTGACGTTTTACACTAACTGAGGCAAAAACGCACTGCAAATACATGGTAAAAATAACATGTATTTTTCACCCAGTAAACCATAATGACTACAATGTGTTGGGTAAATGAGTCTCTAAACACTGGATGCACAATAGTTACATTAATTGACTAAGTCCTGTGAATAGAGAATGTGCAGATAAACACCAAGAAAAAAAAACTTTACATGCCTGGGCAGTCAATGATGCTGTAAAGTTAATCGTGTCAGCCTTCTCTCTGGAGTTGGAGACTATCACTTTTATCACTCCCAGCATACAGTACATCCCTGTGGTTCACTAAGCCAGCAGTGACAATGGCAGAGGCAGATCTTTGGGTTTTGTTCAGATCTCTTTCAGGAACTTACAAAAGCAGAAACAGACCCAAACTTGAATTAGGCTTTCCTGCATGGTGGACAGGAGCAGACAGTACTCGGGCTCCCATTGTTGCTATTTTAAATAAAGATTTCCTGGCTTTCTCAAGACTTTTCTCTTCACAGCAACCTGACCACATCGTGTCTATGCGTAACCTACCCCACTGCATTCAGAACTCTCCTTATGGTCTCCCTTCCTCCATTAAATAGGAACAAGAGGAAAAAACCCAGTAGTTTAGAGACTAAAACACTGCATGACAGCACTGGTGTTATTTAAGATTATGTAGTGGTTTAATAATTCAAAAGCAGAAACTGTCTGGATACTGAATCATCAGACATGTACATTTTCTGCATCTCAAGAGAGTCTGCTATGCCATCCACTGAGCTTCCAGACAGGAGATTATGTCTTGTTTGCTGCTCACAAAGAACACTGACCTAGAGTGAACTCAGTTAATGTAAGACACCTACTTTAAGTGCTACATATACATTTCACATATTTAAAGAGGTGAACGCCAGAGGAATTTGCCAGCTTTCAGAAAACCTTTCGCTTCCAAAGCAACCTAGTCCAATACACACTTATTTTCTATACTGAACTTTTGAACACCTTAGAATGATTTTAATAAGTAGATGTACAATACGGGGGGGGGGGGGGGGTGGGGGGAAGAAAGAAAAAAAATCCTTACTAAAGACAGCATAGACTAAGGCTTGATGTTTTCTTCAGCCAGGTTCATACAGATAAGAGGGTCTGACTGCCAAACACAGGAACAGAGGTTACATATTTAGCTCCTTATACTGGATTTCAAAGATTTACATTTAATGTACGGGATTTAAACCACGGTCAATAAATTATGAAGTAGGGCTGTACAAACATCATTTAATTCTAAGTTAGAATAATGGGAGCATGTGCAGCAGGAGCCCTCTTGCTTTTTAAAAACCTGACAAATAACAAAAGCCACAAATAAGATGTGCATTATCATTACAAACTTTTTCAATAAAATAAATTCATGAAAAATAAATCTGAAGTAGTATTTAAATGGTGTTAAATCTGCTAAAATGATTTTCTCCTGAGCTGATGCTAAGGCTTAACAAGGGATAAAAGAAATACTCTGATTGGCTCATGAAATACTAGTTAAGGATGTGGAGTGGTTGCTATGTGATGTTATAAATAATTAGCATACCTTATTTCAGATAGAGCCATGGCCCAGATTTATGCCTGCACAATGGCTCAGCAAACTAGAGGGCTAGACTGCAAGTGTAAGATCCTGCACTGAGGAAAGAGGTTTATTATTCTTAGGCAGTTTGAGAATAGCATCTGGGGTCTTAGGAAATTTATACACACCATGAAATGCAGTGAAGCATCTGTTCATTAAAACACAAACAACACAGGCAGACAAGTGCTGCTACAGGGTGAGATACAGAGAGGTTATGGGACAATGACAGATACATCTACACTGATAATGCTCTCCTCTGTCTCAGAGCATCAGCACCTAATTAGGAAAAATAAACTATCAGAATATAGGAGGACATCAGATTTTTTAAAATAGCCACAGTGAATACAAGGGCTCAAAAAGTCATGGCTGATTTATGAGAGAGTTTGGGCAGACAAGTGAAAAATATCACTCAGCACAAGAAGAGGTTCTGTTTATTGGAAAGGACATTTTTGGATAATCCTTATACACTGTGAGAACATGTATGTTTGCTATGTTAAACGTGTCAGGGCTGGGAGAGAAAGGCCTTTCTCTAGAGAGGGGGAAAAATTGGACAAAGGGTGGATTCACACCCCACCCCCCACCCCCTACCCCAATAATTTTCTCTACATTTTGGGAAGTCCGGTAGGAAAAACAAGGCTCTCCTTTTTTCAGTCTCAGACTTGAGAAATGCATGTGTTCATGGCTAGTGGAAAAAACATGGGCAGCAAGAGACTGTGTGCTAATTTGCCTCAGGCTTCTTCTGAGCAGAGCCTACAAAATAAACCAGCCTGTTGAATTATTTTTGATGTATGGGTCTGTCTAGCAAGAATAGCACAACACACCAAGTCAACTGATAATCATGCTCCCAGGAAACCCAAGGGATGCCACCAATAAATTATCAATTTCACCACGCAAATAATGTTTATATGAAAATATTGATAGAATCATTGGAAAAATACTTGCAATCTATGGAACTCTTCCAGTACATAGCTATATAGAAAACATGAATTGGGGGGGAAAAAAAAATCGTCAAAATGAATTAAACTGGAAATACAATTGTGAACTTTGCCTTCTTTGCATTCTATCCCTTACAACCTTTACCACTATTTTCAAAATCAACCGAGCATACTGAAAAGAAACCCTGATAAACAAAACCACAAATTGGGACAGAAAGCCAGTATTTACAAAATATACTTGTAGTAATTTTTTCCAAAGTGCAATTATTAAATGTCAGAGAGAATTGTTTATTCCAAACACAGCTCTCAATCCACAATTATATTTTAAAATCTCATAACTTGGTACCAGTTATAGCAAAAGCCATGTATCCTTCAAGGCTTTAAGTAACTCTTGCTCTGAAATGTAAGCTTAAAAATTCAAGACATCAAAACACGGCTATGGTTAGGCTGCCTAGATGAGGCAGATGCATCAGTAGTTTTCCTACTGAGGCATTTTTAATTAGCTGCTTTTCACAGCTGTAAAAGAGGTACACAATAGAGAAGTTTCTCAACTAGTTTAGAGAATTGTAAACTCAGGCACAGAATAGTTAAACATTCTTACCCAGGATCATACAAAGCACAAGTGAATGAGCAGTAAACCTCTGCCCAATGCTTTTACACAACACTTGTAGATGTCTCTACAAGATGCATTTTGCATGATTGACCAACTCCAGATACAGACTGCCACTAGGGAAGCAGCATATTCAAGAGTACATTCTTAATATAGGTTTCCTTTTTTTCATGTTACAGTATCTTTAATCCAAGACATTTTCATTTTACCATTTAATAAATATTATCAAATGCTGACAAGAATATCTTCCGAACAGTACACCAGCATTTATGAGCACAGTAAGTGTATCTATGGCTCTCCAAACCTTTTAGTCATGAAGACAGTTGCCAAGTTAAAAAAAAAAAAAAAGAAAAAAGATTGAAAGATTTTTCAAGCAAGGACAGTACAGAAGCAGAAGCCAGAACTGTGTCCAAGAAGGCTCTGAAAACCCCTGGAAACCAGGCTGACAACCTCCTTTCAGTTTAAATATAACCTCTCCCTGAAGCACACACATCATCATCATTGGACTCTATTACTTGCACCAGGCCACACCAGTTTTGAGAGGAAGACATGCAGTACGTGGGAAATCTGCTCTTTAAGAGAATGCTCTACACAGAGACCTCTATGAGGTTATCTCTGTAGAGACTGGACAATGACACTTGAACTGGTTGAATGATGTCAACAGAGCTCTTACGAGTTAGTTTACAACTGGCTTGAAAGCCACAAGGTGGAATAAGTCTCTCTGGCTACGACACATGCTTTATTCTTTGTAACTACTAAAGAAGTCCTAAATTCTTTTGACTATGATGATAAAGAAAGTTATTTTGTGAGAAAAATCACAAACAAGCTTATTCTTATACCAGTCTGAAAAAAAGAAACAAGCCAATACAGTTTGCTGTTTAGTACCTCAAGTAATTTTTAATATTTACATAAAGTCAGGAATTAACCCTGCAAAATGCATCTCACATGAATGGCCCTGTCAAAGAGAACTCAATTCTCTGTATGTTTAAGAATAAAGAAAAGGTTATAAGATTAGAACCCTAAAGCCTCCTTTTACTTTTGGGTAGCACCTCAGGATTAATCAATATTCCCATCCACAAGAGTGAAGAAAAGCAGACTACCAAACACTGAAACTCCCTCTTTTAAGGAAGCCAAAAAGATAAGCAACCTTTTGGGTAGGCATTGAGGATTCTTTAACTGACCTTTTACAGACATGCGCCCATCTGACCAATGATTTATTAATGTCCAGTTACCTGGGAAGCAGGTTGTTAGGTGCTCCATTAGTGCTTCTTGTGTGACTTGTTTTCGGGCAGAGTTCATTGCTGAGATGGCCAGGCAAAGGATTTCCCCAAGTGGAATAAACTGTGACTGACTGATGGGAGACATGCTGATGGGTGATACATCACCTGTAAAAAGACAACAGATGTGCAATGAAGTGTTTTGTTTAAAAATCTGCTCATAGAGCAAAGATGTAGAGATACGACTGGAGAAGATGCACACAGCTCTATAGTCTTTGCTCTGAGCTGGGGATAAAACTCTTACAATGGAGAACCATCCAACAGCTTATTTCAAAACTCAGACATGGCAAACTTTGGAAAATGGGTGATATACACTATGCAGACATAGTTTCACCAAGGATGCAGTAGACAGATTCAGAAAAATGCCAACAAATTAACACTTATGGTTGCAAAACCTCGTGCTTGAATATTCTACTACGTAACTGCACAAATGAAATAGTTGCATGTATTTCTCTGAACATAAAAGGGGAGATTTCACTCCCCTTTCAAAGGCTAGTGGCATGGATCACCCACCATTTCCACTTGATAGAATATTTTTTCTTAATAGTAACAAAGATCAGAAAAAAAAGTTGCTAAGTTAATGAGTAACATTTTTACTCGGCTGATAAAGTGCAGAACACTCTTCAGAGGCACGAAAGCATCAAACACCTTAAGACTGATACCCTGAATAAACCTCTCCTGGATCTACATGTCAAATGTCTTTGTATGGACTACGTATTTTTTAGAAGAGAAGTTTTAATGGTTCCAGGATGGCCTGAAAATTAAATTTGTTGCAACTTTTCTCATGTTGTCTTTAAAAATAATTCATTAACCCATACTTAAAAAATCATTGAAAGATCTTCAAAATGGAAGTTACAGGAGAAATTACAATTTGGTAATACTAGCATGACTACTTGAGTACACATATACACGTGCATTTTAACATACTTTATATAGATACAGAAATGCTTTTAGATTCTGCTCTGTACCTCCTCTTGAAGTGGTAACAGTTCCCCAATGATCTCAAACCGAGGGAAGCAGCAGGCTAAAAGATTTCATTTGCCAGAGGAAAAGGAATAATAAAGAGTAACAGACAGAACAAAGGGTGTTTGACTATGAATCCTTTCCTGGCCACAAGTCAGGCAATAGCCAGGGATTAAGTTTTACCCAAATGGCTTTGAAATCTCAGAAAAATCACCCTATTTCTGCTGTCACAGAGCAATACCTTGTGATCAAATCAGGAATCAAATTACTGGAAATTAATTAAAACTCAAACTTTCCTCCACAATTTAGAGGATCTAATATTTGCCCTATTAATTCTATATTCCTATTACATCTACTAAACAGGAATAGCAGTTTCTAAAACTGATTATCAAAATGCATTTTATCTTGCATTATACTCAGCACTTTGGAAAAAAAAAAATTGGTGGGAGTAGCAAATTGCATAACTGTCTCAGTGAGACTTGAGCAATATTTTTCAATACACCAGCTGTACAATCTGTTGTACAACAGTGATACACATTACCCAAGACACGACGATTTAAAATACACATTTGTGCTACGATGTCTCCTGATTGCTTCTGCTTAATCACGCCTGACCAGATCTATGCTGCAATCCCAACACAGCAGCATTCCTCCAGCTTCAACACAGTGCGCCCCAAGATCCTCCTCATTCTTATCTGACCACAGAATGATGATCTTAAAATATAACCTTTTCTGGACATTTTTTATTCATATACACCTGGAAAGTTCTTGCCACGTGCTTTACAGACAATGGCAATCAAGATTGTAGACAGCTTACAGGGAAACATGAGAGATTTGCTTCCAAGTCATGTGAAAGCAAACACGCTTGCACCCGGAACGATCCACTCACAGCTAACCAGAATGACATTTAGGATGTAAGGAATGGGCCTTAATACCATCATCAGCTTCCTGAAGTGGGAAAGGGACTCAAGGAGGGTTATACATGAAGCCTAGCAAGTGCTGCTTGTAGGTTTGCTCTGCAGCCTCCCAGCTGCCCCCAGAGGGATGCTTGGACAAGAACTCAAACCAGTTACTCTGCTCACCCCCGGGAGCAGCCCATCCCTCTCCCCTGACTGCCAAGAGCCTGCGGAGATCCACCTCTGGCATCACTCCCAGTCGGGACTCGTTAACTTAAAACTGGCTAAGTACAAGTGAAGAAATAATAAAGTTTACCTGGACTTTAGTACCCTTGCACTTCACACAACCTTTCCTTTCAAAGCAGGCCTCCAGCATGGAATTGCTTTTCTAGGTTAGTGTGCAGAAAACATTCAGTCTCTACATTTGACCCCTGCCAGTTGGGCTCTTGTCAACAGGAACAAGCCAAGAGTTTCCACCGAAATACTAACTGTACTTCACATCATAACTCATCAATATAAAACATTCAGTATCCGTTCCTTAATGTTAACGCCATCTCTAGCAAAGCATGCTATAGTTAGTATGCCAGGGTAACATACAGCCTGCTTGCAAATATTTGGGAGCTTAACAACCATTTAATTAACTATAAAGATGACTATAATCGTCCATAAAATCATAATTTAACTGGCTTTAAATGCAACAGAAATGGCAAACAAATACTGGTTTACGTGAGAGCCTTTCTGTTTTGTAAGGGACTATCGCCAGTTAAGCCTTATTCTTTTCCACTGAGTGCTTTTCAACCTTCTTCATTATCACAAGGGAACTCTTGTTTCACCTCTGTTGTGCCAGAATTACCTCCCTAGCTTGTTGCCTGTAACTGTCTGCTGGAGATAATTACTGGCTCTTGGTTTAAAAAGGCTAGCACATATCCGTAAAACTTTCAGCAAACCTAGTGATAGAAAGCCAAAACCCCCTCACTCAGGGAGGCTCTAATTTGCCAAGTTTTATCTTAACTATCCTGTGGCTCTGGCCAACTACAAGCACTCTGTGGTTATAGTTAAGTGAACAAACTTCTTTGACGCACAACAACAGAAAATATCTTGCGTCTACAATTTAATATAATACATTAACATAAATTACGTGCATAAATACTGTTTAGCCTGTTGAACAGAAGGTTTACTACAACTTCTTTAGGAAAGATCTGCTTAAAAAAAAAATAAATAAATGCTTTTCCTAATTTTTTTTTTTAAGACCACATCACTTATATAAAACATCTCCCATATGGCTGCTGTTAGCTCTGACTGATGCTTGTCTCAAGCAGCTTTCTTTGGAAATCAAATTACTATCCTTAACTTTCACATGTTTATGTTCCCAATTAAATGAAAACTGGAGCTCAGAAAGCAGTTTTCACCAGCTGACTGCATGTTTTGTTTAAATACAAGAGCAAGATATATATATATATGTATATAGTTTTAGTTCTGTTTCTGCAGTGTCTTTCCAAACTTTTCTCTAAAGAATTTAAAAACAAAAAGTTTTCTAGACTTCTTGTTTTAAGTGGCACTTAATTTTCAAAAACATCTAAGCACATAACAAACAACGAATGGGATTTGTCCTCATTTATGCCTTGGGGATTTATAGCGCTACCCTGTGGGAAAAAAAATAATTATTGTTACTTAGAACAAAAGATTATGTAGCACATAAAATAAACGCTTAGCTCTCACATGGCACATTTCTTCAGTGGATTTCAAAACATTCCGAAAAACTGGGTAACCATAGCTATCCTTAACACACAGATGAGAAAGTGATCATCTGTAACTGGGAATGAAAATTCTCACATCCTGAACCCATACCAGCCAGAACCTTTCCTGTGCCAGTTTATCTAGTGTCTCTGTTCTCTCAAAGTCTGGGTACCACCATCTTGGGAGATAACAAGGTAGACTATATTCTGCATCATGCATCAGCAATTGAAGTATCAACTACATACTGATGACAGAATTTTTATTCAGTACCAGTGATTCTGCTGCTGGAAAGAAGTGACCTGGAAGTCAAACTCCCTGTCCCATGAAGTTTGCATGAAGATTGTTTGATAAATCATCCCTTGGCTTATAAATGGAACCAATTCAGTACAGCCATTGTGAAGGAAAATTAAGGAAATCACAGTGCAAAGCCACACTATATTAGAATTTATACACACTACTTCCCCGAAATGGGGAAGAGACTCTGATTACATGCTGCATCCTGTAAAATATAGGAAGCCAAAGCCCAGTTTCTCTTCTCCATCCAACCTTTTTAGCCTTTTGTTTCCTATGGATGAAGACAACCTTTAAACATGATTTTTAGCCTGGTTTCCACAGGAAATAAGGCTTGCACAATCACAGTCTGTGTGTGTGCATGTGCCAGAGAAGTCGAGCCTCACTAGACAACAGAGATTCTAAAAACAAGCGTTTGCTATGCCTGCTCCATCTGCACAGCGCTTCAGGCATAGCCACCTCCCACTAGAGAGGAGAGAATCCAGTCAAAAAACATTTGTCAAGGGAAATCTTACTTCGCTACTTTTGCTGCTTACAGAACTACGTTATTAATCAGAAAACATAAAACTAGAGTACAGTAACTTCATGGCACCTCATGATTATAGTGGTGGTTGCGATAGAAATCCCCTACAAAAAAATTTCTTGCCAACAGCCTGTTCTGGTGAACACTTGCCTATGATTTCACTACAGAAGAACTACAAAAAGGCCCTTTTCAAACAAAGGGTAGCTAACAAACAAAACCAAAACTACTGGTAGTGGGCAAAAAGAGGGCTCTTCAGCCTAGAATATTATCACCTTTTTTTCTAGAATACCATAAGTGAAAAGCCCCTTCTAGAAAAAGCACATTTTCACATTTACTTAAATAAGGGACAGATGTTGAACAAGTTACATGTCTGGCCTGGGTTGCACATTACCCCTTTTCCCCGCCAAACCCCAACGTGACTGAATCACCAAAACCTTTCTTATGTGAACTCACAACAATGATATATAATTGCCATTTTAAGCCAGACAATGTTTCCATCTGATTAAACAACTGGAGGGAACAGGAAGAATATGTAGATTTCTGTGGTATTACCCAGATTACTCTGAAATACCTTGGATCTGCACTAGCACACTAACACAGAAAAGAACACATTTTACTGGCAAAATCTGAAATGAAGAAAATTAGAAGGTGTGTTGCTTGTGCTGTTCTCAGCCATAGCTAAATCCTCCTTTTAAACCACATTTCCTGGAGTATTTTATGAACAAAGCTGCAGGTTGTGTTTATTAGACAGTTACACATACCAGAGGACTGATAACAGTAAGAAAAAAAATACATTAAAGATTTGTCCATTTATTCCTGTTTAAGAGCAGCTTAAACAAAGGCTTGACGAATGCAGTAACACATTGGCTAACCAGCAAGCTCGTTCTGCACCTCTGAAATGCATGCACACCAAAACATACCTTCCCTTGCAGATACAGATCATGAACGCTTCAAGAATGTGACCTAGCAATGTGACCACTCCAATTCTAACCAGCCTGAAGAAAACACAGCAACCTTAGTAACGACCAATCATATGACAAACACTGACCTCTGAGCAAAGTTCTAGTCCCTTGCCAGTTATTAACTTCAACCACGTAAACTGATCTTTTTAATCATTCGGACACAGCTTAAAGCATGATCTCCAGGTTCACCAAGTGGCACTAACTTTCAGAAACAGGTGCTAAATTGCCCACAGCCAGCAGACTTGTCTTACATGCATTCATCCTGCGTGTTTCCTCTGATTTAAATTTCCTTTTCTTTGTTCAAGTCCTGTGGCCAGCTGCCTCCTGATCCAAAGTGATATCCCAGCACATGTTACAACTATGATCATAAAGCTTCTGCTGGAGCACGGAACTTTCCCAGAGGATTCAGTCGAGGAGATTTTGGTGGCATTGCTTATCCTGGGAAGAAGGAGGGTGGGATTGTGTTTTTTTAACATATTGTGTGCTTTAAGAACGTGTTTCCTCAGACAATATCTTTCAAATGCATCTTTTAATAAATGTCCATGTCTATATTCCTGGCACACAATATGTTAAAAAAGGGGGACTTACCTGAACCCCTATGGTCTGATTCCATGCTCCAGTACAGTATCCAAAGTAGTTGTGATGTAACAACAATGTGCATATTGGGGCTTTATATCACTGTGGAAGCTGGCGGGCTGCAGCATAGGTCAGTGCCACAAGACCTGAAAGAAGAAAAACAAAGCATGCTTTTAAGCAGTAATATGCTAAACACCCACCTCTTAAAGCAGGAAATAGGGGCTTCCAGAAAATAAAAAAGAATACAGTACCTATGCAGGTCCACTGAAACGAATGCTATTTCATACAATTCTCACATAAGTACGAGAAATAAATGGTTAAGAAACGACAGGGGAGGTGGAGGTAGAGAATCTAAAGGGGACTACAAATATAACTCCCACACAGTGTTTTGAAAACATCTCTCTCCTTTTGCCCTATTTCCACGGAACGGCTGGAATCACGTTCTGACACCACCCCCTGTTCCATAGGCACTCACAGTCTTTGCAAAGCACCTCTCCACTGCAGTGCCTCAGGATTCTGCAGTGTCACTCCTCTTCTGCCTGGCTCTCTGCAAAGTGAAGTCATAGGAATGGATCAGCCAACCTGACTTCTCACTACCCTGCCCAGAATCCTTTGTGAACTGAAATGAGTCATCGCTCTGAAAAAATCCACGGCGCAACGTTCCAGGTTTCTCCCTATGTCTGCGCTGGCTTCTTTGTCTTTGAAACGAAGTGCCTCTGCTTCTGGAACGGTGCCCAGCTGCATTGTACAGGATAACAAGCCAGCCTCCTCATTAAGTGGACAAGAAAGCTATTTACATGCATTAGCAAAGACAAGTTAAAGCTTTAACCCTCTAGTCAAGACAAAAAATTTACCCCTAACATACCTGCCTGATGTAATACACAACCCCCCAATACACAAAACCACAAATGCACAGGCATACGTGCACACACACACTTACACGGACCAATATTCTCTTAAATTATTCACTATTTAGCATGACACTTACCAGTTTTTACTCTATTGATTAAAAAGAAAGATGTACTCTCCTTTGTCAGTCCTGAAGAATGCTGCAGACCTGCATGTAACAAACAGCTCTGCCGTACACTGGATCAAAGTTGTGCTGCTGCAGACTGTTTATCAAAAAATTAGAAGCAGTGGACAAGTTCTTGCAAGCTCATTTTTCATCATCCTGTTCAAGCATTTGGCCTCAAAACAAAGTGAGCCCTGAAACCATGCCAGACAGAAAATGTCAAACTGCTCCAAGTGCCGAGAGCCAGCAGAGCTGCTTCAGCTTCTGCTGCTACTGACAAAGAAGGTAATGCTCAGAACGAGGTCACTGTGTCAGGATCTCACTCCCAGTGCTAGGTTTTCCTTTGCTTGGTGAGGATATGCTAAGCTAAAGCATCAGGAAAACACAGAAGAGGAGGTAGGAATAGTGTGTGATGAGATACAGATGCTGCTGTTTTGGAGAAACATTTTTAGTTGTTTGGGGATTTTCCTTTAAGAGAAGGAAACATTCAAAATTGCCTTTACTGCAAAAGAACTATTTCTAGTTGTGATCTAGTCACCAAAATGAGGAGACTGATATGCAGAAATGGAGGGGCAAACAAAAACAGGAATGTCGCCATGGGACACTTCTTTAACGGTTCCTGTATCCTAAGCACTCTGACATAGTTTGAAGCATAGCAGGTACATAATCCATAAAATCCTGAAGCACAGCACTTCAGGGCTCACCTGTGCCGTGCTGGAACAGGCAATTCTTTTAGGTTCTCCCCTACATGAACACACCAGGTGTTTAGGACTGAATTAAATACAAAGGTGACCACCTCCCTGTGCTGTGAGCCCTAGCCTTACAACTACCCTGGCAATGAAAGAGTCAAACACAGCCTCAAATAGGTCTATGTGTTTCAAAAGGGTAAGCAAATAGCTGGGTTACACAACTAACAAACATCACTTGTTTACAGGTCTATGGTGATTGTTATGCAGCAAAGCCATATTATAAACAGGCTAATTTACAAGTGTAAGGTAGGCTGGGTGCTTTGCTACACCTGTAGTTACACAGTAGCCAAGATCTGAACATTAAAAGCTGGGCTTTTGCTATTACACAGAGTCATCAATTTCTATGTTCCCTGAAAGGCCTCATTCCAGGAAATCTTCCTTCAACTTTACAGGAGTTTTGCCTTCCCTGGGGCTGCAGGATCAGCCGCAAAGCCTCTAATGAATCCAACTTGGCATTTGCAATGTTTGGGTCCCTCAGGATCATCCTGCGGAAATTCTGGTTGTTTGTCTGCTAAGCCCACGCCCACTTTACAGCAATGAAACTCACTACAGTAAGAAAAATGTCCGTGGGCTTAAAAGTGAATTACAACAGGCACCTACCGAAAGAAAAAATGAGAGCTCCAATCTGCTTTTCCTTTGCTCCAGATGACATTCACGCAAAGCTGAGTAGCTGGGCCTGTGCGTGCAGTCCTGTTTTCACACGCATGCACAAGTCTTGCAGCAGTAGTTACGCTACTACCACCACCGTTAAAACACTGGCGGAAGAAAGATGAGGGTAATATCGCGACCCAAATATCCTTTCTCTCTAACAAATTTCTCTAGCACTTGAACCCGAGTTCCATACTCAGGACCAGCTGCTCTGCACAGACAAATACAACTGCAAGCTCTTGGAGTGAGACAGTTCCTCTTGCATGTGTGATGCCCTAGAGACACCTAGAATGCACTGAGCGTGCACATGTACCCAGGTGCACATACACCTTGTGTGCACATGCACCTAGGCATGCCTTTACTCACATCCATCAGCTCACAGCACTGTTAGGCAGCCCTTTAATCGGTATTAAGAACAGCCAGAAGTACCTGATACCTCAAAGCATGGCAGAGAGCAGAAGTGAAAGGAGAGATCAGCAGCGGGGAAAAGGTAAATGAGAATGTTTAGAAGAGCTGAAGTTGACAGATAAACCAGCGCTGCCATCATCAGTGATGCTACTGCAGCATGACCTCAGAGGAGGAAGGCCTAGCCAACATACCACATGCACTTCCCAATCGAGGCAGCTACTCTGTTCCTCCATCCCACATCTCCCCCCCCCAGCACACGACATAAGTTGGTACTGAAACAAAAGCTGCCTTACTGACAGTGTACGGCACGAATACACCATACACTCCTCTCTCTATAACTCCATGCATGCACGTGCATCTGAATAGACCAGTACAGAATACTGTATAGCCTGAGAGAGATCTCCATCATACACTGAGAAAGCAGATGATGTAAAGATCCCATTTTCTTCCTTTGCACATGCATTGTGTTGGAGTTGAACACAGGCTCCTTTGTCAAACTCCACATTAGCTTGCATACATCCTTGAGCCCTCCCAAGCCAGGGCCTGGGATTCCCTTCCTTTGCCACAGCCCTTTCACCATCACCAGAGGGAAACTCAAGAGAAGAAAAAGAATGTGCTCAAATGGGGGGCAGAACAAAAAAGGTCAAAAAAGAACACCACCAAAAGATGCCAAGAAGGTTATCAAGAGCATGAGAAAATTTAGACTAGCCTGTACCAGTTTCAGCGGATCCCGAATGTCAGAGGCTAAAATCAGCCTCAGCATTCGGAGTCTGTAGCTGCAGAGACTATGGTCATCTATCATTACAATTACTTCTACAGGAACCAACTTCACAATGCAGGAAACACCCAAACACCAGACTGGGAACACAACCTGTGGCCCCAGAAGAAGCCAGACTAAGGAACATCAGAAAGATACAAATTTACACTTCTATTTCTTTAAGAAACCTCTTCATACTACAAATTTTGACATACTAGTGCTCCACTAATAACAACTTACTTGCAGTATGCTAATAAGTTCTACTTGGCTTACCTGAACAAATCTTCTGGTTCCTTAAGAAATCACTTAAGAAAATACAAGAGGGAACATGATCAGGATATTAAATTCAGCAATATCCCAACAAGTAATGCCCATCTGTTTTTGTGCTAATGTTCTCTAGGAGCTTAAATAATCTTTCTTTTTTTCCCCTCCTGCTGCTTACACCCCAATGTATTTGCAGAGAACATACCTCCCCTCCTTCAGATCTCATTCCACTGGCTTTAAAAAAAGCACGCTCTTTTAGTGTTCTTTCCTATGTCTGCCCCTCCTGTCCCTTTAATCTTTCTAGAAGACTCTTCTACATTTACTCTAACTTACATAACTTTTCTTTAAAAAGCAACAACCAGAATTCTGCACCATATTCTAGTGCTCCAGCTAACCTCCCACCTGCGTCAGGTACAAGGAAATTGAAATGTCGATACTTTTAGTGGAAATGCCCTGCCCTATATATAAGAACGAAACTTGCTTTTTTCACAACTGTACTACATTAGTGGTTCACTGTCACCCCACAACTGAATAACTGGTTCCAGGCATCTTTTTTATGCTGCCTGCAACTAATGAGTTTGAAGCAAATATTCCTGGGTTTGACTCCCAAGACCATGATCTTACCCATTATACTTTAACAGCTCACTCTGTGGATATGATTAAGGATCTTTGGCCATCCCATTCTTCTTATTTGTTACCCATTTTTTAAGCATCTCCACTTTATCACACACTAAAAAGAGCCACAAAAACTATAATGAAAAAACAATACTTCAAATGTTACCTAATGCAGGACAGAACCATAACCCTGTGCCATGCTGGCTAATACAACAACCCAGTACACAGCATTTGAATGAATCCATCAAGCCTTAACGCGAAAAACAAAGCAGCCCACAAAACTCCCTCCCCCAAAAGCCCAGTAGGTAAAACAATTGTCTTTTTAGAATTCGACTAATAAATGAGGCTTCTTTAAATTATAGCTCACTGGAAAGTATGTGGTATTTTAAACCACACAGAATTCTCTAACAGATTTTGTAGCTAGGACCATGGGACAGGAGAGGAGGATGGTTGTTTGTTGGTTTTTTTGTGTGGTTTTTTTTTTATGCATAGGAACCTGTTACTATTAAATTAATTCGATTAATGTTAAAGCTATATTGTCATCGACCACACCACCACCCCACCCCCTCAAAAACAAAGCCTGCCTGTTTTCTGGCAGCAAACAGTAAATGCGAGGAAAGATAGAAGCATTAAAAAAATCTGACACTAGAGGAGATTTGGCAAGAGAGAGTGAGCACATGAGAAACAAAAGAAAAAAAAACAACAAACAATGCTAAGCCTAGATGTTTTCGTTTAGGGTGGAAATTTTATAAAGGCAGAGAAAAATATTCCTTTATAAACGCTCCTGAAAGCGCAGAACATGACTGCTGAAACACAACAATCAGCCTGTCTTAGCCACATGTTCTTCACTATCCTCTTCAGTTTAGCCAGAACACATTTTCAGTGTGGCTGGGGATGCTGCACCAAATATTCAGCAAGAGTCTAGTTAGCAGCTAAAATTCTTGAAAGGTAAAGGGATGATGAGCAATACAACCCAATGACATAGTGTACCCTCTCTCATTTATATTGACTGCTGTAACCATGGAAGGATTTTCATCCCAAAGATGATA